GTAATGATGTTTAAGAATACAAACCAATCTGTAAGTGAGCAGGAGGTATAGTTAACATTGGGAGATTTGGTAATTTGGCCTAGGGAAGGGTAGAATAAAACTAATTGTGTAGCTGTCTGAGCACGTTTCTATCTTAGTGCTACAAGCCCTTTGTGTTCCTCCTGTTCTTTGAGCATTTAATAAGTCTTTTTTTATGTGCCTCTGTACACCCTTTACTGAAGTGGGAAATACTTGGATCAGTAATGTAACACCAGTGTGTAAATAAGGTGTTTTTCATATTTTGAAGGGTAAATCTTTATAAAAGTCAAGACACTTGTAAATCTGAGTAATTTCTGTCTCATCACACACATAGAAGCCAAAAAAAGCATGATATATTACTTTCCTTCTTTTTTAGTAAAGGTATTTTATGGTTTGGGGAAGAGTCATTTGAATTAAATAAAGGGTGAGTCCCAGGAATCAAGAAGTTGGAGCTGTTCCGCTACAATCACATTGTGGTAAGAAAATTTATTCCTGTGTTCTACTTATGGGACACTAGATAGAACTTTCTTGAAAGTAGCAAATCCAGCTTCTAATTGCATTTTTTTGTCCACAAAAATTATGAGTTTATCAAAACAAGAAATGAGAAATCAAGAGGGAAGGAGGGAGGAATGGAAGAAAGGAAGGAAGGGGAGAGGGAGGGGGAGGAGGGGTGGGGGGAGGGAAGGAGCACCGGGAGGGGTGGGGGGGGGGGGGGCAGTAGGGAGGGAGAGAGAAGAGAGAAAGAGGGAACTCAGAAGTAGGAAGCAAGGATAGAAATGTACCTTAAAATAATGGTAGAGTTGGGGAAAGATGGCTGAGATTTAAGCTACATTCATATTTGTCTCTGTAGATACAGGAAAGGAAAAAAAAACCCTCTTTTTATAGAATTACCTCTTCTTGACATAATCATGCTAACTTCAGTACTTTTGTGGATATTGATTTCCTGGGAAGGGTGCAATTATTGAAACAACTGCTGAACTTGTAAAAAGCAGTATCACCCTTAGAACCAGGCAAGACTTGGCTTCAGGTTATGCCTTCAAGTGCCCCTCTGTGGCCCCCTTTCCACCAAGAAGGTGAGGAGTCCATGGGGCCAAAGTTACTGACTACGTGAGAACCTTACCTTTATTTCTAGACCAAGTTCAGGGAACCTGGGACCATGGAACCTTCTGCTCAACAGGCCCCAATAGTGGCTCCAAGGCCTGCTGGACCCCTTGCCCTCCCCGCTTCCTCAGGGCAGACTGTGGTTGCTGGTGCGCACACTCTTGGGCCTGAGGGACAGTTGATTATGGAGGTGTGTCTGGAGCTTGATCAAGCTGGGGTATTCACATCATGCCTACGGGCCCCTTGTGGGAGGGAGAGAGCTGGAAGAGGAAAAGTAGGGATACAGGCTTCAGGACTTGGGAAGGTGAGTGCACCCCAGGGCCTCCTACTAGATTTTGGCATGAAACTCTGAGGGAGCTGAAAAATCTAATTTGAACTTGGCCTTCCAGATTATTATGAAGGTATATTTACCAACACAGAAAGATGTAACACATTTTATTTTTATTTTTTTAAAAGATTTTATTTATTTATTTGAGAGAGAGAATGAGATAGAGAGCACAAGACGGGGGAGGGTCAGACGGAGAAGCAGACTCCCCGCTGAGCAGGGAGCCCGATGCGGGACTCGATCCCAGGACTCCAGGATCATGACCTGAGCCGAAGGCAGTCGCTTAACCAACTGAGCCACCCAGGCGCCCGCTATAACATATTTTATTTAACAGTTTGCCAGCTTGACTCACAATTGTTAAATATGTAGACATGATGTGTTGGCCTCCATTTGTACACTCAAGGGAGGCTGCTTATAAGTGACTTTTGGTTGTAAGCTCTGTTTGAGACAGGTACTTATTCTATACTGGGTGTGAAGAAGAAGAGGGAAGGAAAGGCAGAGAGGAGAGACTGTCATCTGCTCGCAACTGTGCCGGCCTGGAGACTTTCACACATTTTTATTTAATCGCAGCACCTTTTCAGTTCTGGTCTCATAGTTGAAAAAAACAGGTGCATAGGGGAGGAAAGACTTCCTCTACCCTCCTGGGATCAATAGCTGGGCCTAGGAAATAAACTGACAACAGGCAGATCAACAGGAGAAAAGGTATACAAGTGTATTGATTTTAAATGTTACCTGCTGGGTGGCATCACAGGGGGGAAAAAAAGTGCACACCCCCAAAATGGTGAGATTTGAGAGCTTATATAGCAGCATAGTGTGAACGGGAAATGGAGATGTAGGGGAGAGTAAACCATTTTAGGAAAGATGACTGGGTCCTGAGAAGAACAGATAGGGAGGTAATATTTTGTGACAAAGTTTTTCTGGGTGTGGTGTCAACTTCTAGTTTTCTCTCCTATGGTAAAACTCAACGCTCCCCAGTTGATGAAATTCCTGAGGAGAGGATTTATGACAGTTGAGTTCCTTTTGGTGTATCTGTCTTTAGGCAGATAGAGGGAGTGCAGAGAAAGCCTCTCCCTGAACTTGCTGTTTATCAAGTGCCTTCAGCTCCAAATCATCAATATACCAAGGCAGCATATTTTGGGGTGTCATGTCCTGAACTCCTTCAGGTGGTAGAGCTTGGATCAGAACGCGGGTGCTTTCAATATTTGCAAATAAGATGCATCTAATTCATTGACTTTGTAGGTATTCATCTGTATGGTTTACTAGTAATGAGAAGTCAAAGCAATTTGAGGATCACAGTACATGTTTTGTAATGTGGTGACATTCCTCTGCTACGATGCTAAAGCCTGACCTATTAAATTTTTCACTTTGGAATACATATCCTTTCTTTGGAATTATTGTGACACTCCCCTGCAAGAGTGTTACTGTTTAATAAATGCTCTTTTTGTTTAATTGTCAGGAAACAAAATTACAAAGTCAAGTTAAGCAAGCCTGCCCTATAGTATAGCTTGGTGATCTCCATTTCCCTCTTCCTTGATTATCTTGACACTATTTCTTTCATTTTATGCTTGCTGTCATTTATTTATTTGCATCTCAAAAACCAATATACAATCCAAACCCTGTGAACACTACAGCAATGGGGATGGGGTGGGTGGGAGTAGGGGTGGTGGTGTATGCATGCACAAATGAAAAAAAAAAGGAATTATATACTAGGAACAAGCAGCTCATTATCTGGTAGGTGATATTTCCGTAGAATTCTATGAAGTCAACCTAAATTGGGAATCTTAAATGCAGCAGGAAAATAGTGTTATGATTAAAAGCCTTTGTCCTAGGTTGTTCTGAACAATTTTGTTCTTGATTAATGAATCAGAGAATAAATGGAACACTCTAGGATACCTGTGCTGAGGCCCTCGATAGAGAATGTAATCTTGACTGTCTGACATCCAGTTCTGACTCAAAGAAGAAAACTTAAAGGTCATGTCATCAAGCTACTGATCTGAGAACTCTGAGTCATTGCAGCCCCTCACAGAATTGTCTTTCCTGAATGCTTCTTAATGTTAGGCCTTCAGTGTCACTACAAAAAGCTGTCACAGATTTCTGCTTCTGTCTTTGTTGTGAAATAGTTGATGAAGACATTGTTTACTTCTCTCCGTGCCATCAAGTTTTACTCAAGGAAAAACTTTGGGTCCTCTTAAGAATGAAACATGTATCGCTCCCGGATAAAAAACAAACAATTTTCTGTATTTAGCTTCCTGGAGCTTAGAGTCCAATTTGTACTGAATGCTTGGCATTTAGAGTAGCTGATTTCTTTGCCTAAAAGTTTCTTCCCTCAAATCTCAGCAAGGATGGATTCTCATCATCAAGGCCTCTGCTCTCCTTCTGGGAGAGTCCTTCTTGGACCATCCTACCTGAAGAGGTGTAAGGAAGGAAAGACGTTTCCTTTATCCTCTTAGCTTCCATGGCTGGGACCTGTGAGTTGAACTAACAAAAGACAGATTAACAGGAAAAAAGCATATAGATTTTATTTCATGTTAACAATTTTATATGGCATGGAAGGAGTCATAGAAAGAAGTGAAAATCCCCAAAAAAGCTATTAGACCCATGGTTATATACCATTTTAACAAAGAATGATAAGTTGTGGAGACATGAGAAGACAAAGGGAAAAAGGGCTTGGCCTAGGGATGTGAAATTGTAGGAAGTAAACAGCAAATATGTGGGGGGCACTCATGGAATATAAAGGTTATTTTTTTTAGTGAGGTTTGTACAGACTCATCTTGATGTCAAGATTACCCCATTTCTGGGCATAAGAATGTTCTCTTCCTGATAGCGGGAGGGCATATTTCTCACAAGAAACGTATACTTTGTTTTTGGGTACAAAGTAGGGGGAAGGAGAGCCCTTCCTGCATCTCGTATTTCTCAGTTGCCTTCAGCTCAAAATAATCAATATGCCAAAGCGGCATATTTCCAGGTGTTCAGGACCTTCTGGGGCCTTTGTACCACCTACTGCCTTCTAAAATTACACTATCCCATTTTCACCTCTCTTTTCCATTTGAATATAATTCTCTTTGGAGATAGAGATTTAGTCTTATTTTAACATTTTTTTTAAAGATTTTATTTATTTATTTGAGAGAGAGAGAATGAGAGATAGAGAGCACGAGAGGGAAGAGGGTCAGAGGGAGAAGCAGACTCCCTGCTGAGCAGGGAGCCCGACTTGGGACTCGATCCCGGGACTCCAGGATCATGACCTGAGCCGAAGGCAGTCGCTTAACCAACTGAGCCACCCAGGCGCCCCTAACATTTAAGCAGTGCCTGGTATATGGTAGATGCTCAGCTCAATGACGAAAAAATATTAAGTGACTAATGACAACTATATTGAACCTTATCATTGATAGATTCATCTTAAAGATTCTGTCATTCCTATCGCCCCATTACTTAATTGTAGCCAACTTTTGGGTTAGCTGCTCTAAATTCTTTTACTGTAAAGGGAGAAACACTATAAATAAATAAATCTAATGAAACAAGAAAAGAAATAATTTCTTAGCCAAAGAAATGAGATGTCAGTTTTAATGAATTTATTCAATAAGCATTTGCTCGGTGTTCATAAGTGCCAGATATTGACTAGATCCTGAGAATACAGAAATACATCAGAAGCAAACCCCGTCCATTGAGTGACAGGCAGCGAACCAATAATTGTAACAACATGGTAAGTGGCTGAAGTGTGGCTGTAGGTTGAGTTTCTGGATTGCAGGTTCTTAGATGGAGAGTAGGGTGCAGGAGAGAGCTTATGTTCTTGTGACCCTCACCTGGGGAAGAGAAGGGAAAGGCACAGAGCTGAGAGAGAAGCAGTTGCGCTCTGATCCTGTCTCAGAGGAAGCCTTAGTCAACTCTAAAGACAAGTCCTAAAGGTAACATGATTCTTCAGAGTTGTCATCAGTGGTACAAAGGACCTGGCCCTACATCACCCTTTAAGTGGCTGGGGCCACCTTGGGAAGGAGGTATGACCTGGGAGGTGTTCTTACCTAAAACAGTTCCAGAAGAGGGCCTGTCTGCTGGGGGCTCACCCTGCAGCTGGGGCAAGAAGTCTTTTGCTCCTGAAGGGAAACTGATCAGCTCATCACAGCATTCACCTCATATTAAGTGGTTATTATTATACTAGAGATACAATAAAGCGATATAAGAATTGTGATGACAAAGAGCTTTATCGCACCTCTAAAATTTAGTAAAAATTAGAGACATTGAAATCTGAATCTTGAGTTCCAGTTTGGATTGTTTGGGGGCATGGAGTGGTGGGCATTCCAGACAAAGCGATTAAATGTGTCCTACTACTTGGGGCATTAAAACTAGTTTTCCTGTTCGAGGGTTCATTCATAAATGAAAAAGATGGTACTAACACCACCTGAGCATGTGTACTAGGCACATAGGTGCATTATGTCATTTTATGCTCTAAACAACTTAGCAAATAACGTATTATCCCGATAACATTCTGACAATATTGGATCCTGACAGGGTCCAAAACACAACAAAAGAGAACCCCCAAAAAAGCACAAAATGAAACAGATACTGTCATATGTTTATAGATGATAACACTAAGGTTAAGAGAGATCTAGCCATCTGTCCCGCAATCACATAGCTAGTAAATGGTGAAGACTAAGTTTCACCGAGGTTTGCTTGGCTCCAACGTACATGCTTTTACAACCACCATGTAATCTCCATTGTTCTAACCTTAGTTTTTAGTACTTGTACCTGTTTTGTGATTTATTTTTAAGGCATTGACTGATTTTGATAAAATTTTGAACAATACTCAAAAATATCAAGAGACTCTTAATTTCTGCCAGTACATTCATCTGCAATCTTGAAGTAAACAGTGACCAACAAGTGTATTCCAGTGGCTGTATTATTTTATGCTTTTCAACAAAATGTTATATGTAGATGTGTTAGAAAGATGCACAACTGTAGTGTTGAGTTATATGCTTTCTAGATTCACTAGAATATTCCACTTTAAGAATAAAAATCTCATTATTTAAGTTATTTAATCTTGGAAAACTACTCTTCATCACTAACAACAGAGCACACAGCATGATGGGGATGTCTGATGAAAAACTGAGTTGGAACGTCAAGCCATATTGCTCCTCTGGCTTAAGAGCCCTCAATGCTTTTCCATGTTCTATAGCAGTGGTATCCAAAGAGGTACAGATAGCCTAGGAGTTTTTCAAGACAACCCATTATGTCAAGAAAAAATAAGTTTATTTTTCAGTTTTATCCTTTGAAAATATTTATTTTTTAGTATTCTTTATAATGTACATGATACGTTAGTACTATACATATATTAGATATTCATGCTCAAAACAGTTTGACACATGATCAAAAAAATTGGGAATGAGGGGCGCCTGGGTGGCTCAGTCGTTAAGTGTCTGCCTTTGGCTCAGGTCATGATCTTAGGGTCCTGGGATCAAGCCCCGCGTCAGGGCTCCTTGCTCAGGGCAGAGTCTGCTTCTCCTTCTGCCTCTGCCCCTCCCCCCACTCATACTTTCTCTCTACCTCTGTCTCTCTCAAATAAATAAAATCTTTAAAAAAAATGGGGATGAAATTATGACCATGCTACAACATGAATGAAGCTTGAAGACATGATGCTAAGTGAAATAAGCCAGACACAAAAGAGCAATTATTGTATGATTCCACTTACTTGAGGTACCTAGAGTAGTCAGATTCATAGAGGCAGAAAGTGGAATAGTGTTGGCCAGAGGCTGGGGAACAGGAGAGTGGGGGTGCTTAGTGTTCAATGAGTACAGAGTTTCAGTTTGGGAAGATGAAAGAATTCTGGAGATGGATGGTGGTCATGGTTGACGTGGATGTACTTAATGCAGCTGAGCTCTACACTTAAAAACAGTGAACAGGGTACGTTTGATGTCAGGTATAACACTAAAAAATAATAAAGGTAGGAGATTCCAGGTTGTAACAATGGATACAAGGCCTCAATTACAACTTGACCCCATCTTTTCATGCTCATCTCTGCGGACAGTTTTTCTTTGGACTGGTATAACTTGCTATGTGCTGTTTCTTCAAACTGGAGTGCTCTCCCTCACCCTGTTTGCTTTATAACCCCCTACTCATCTTTCCAAGTCAATAGTTCTGAGTCTTAACACACAAAAGACATTTGTGTATCACATCCTCTATACATTTCTCATATTCACTATTTACATGTCACTGGGTCTTTTACTTGATTGAATTTCTCGAGGACAGGAACACTTGTATGCTGGCCAGAACTCAATGATCACATTTGTTGAGTAAATGAGTGTGTAAATGAATAAAGACTAAACAGTAAGTAGGTGGCATAACGTTTATGCAGTGGACATCCTGGATGGGGATAGGAGGCCCTTCCCTCCGGTGGGCTCCTTTGAAGTCCCATCTTGAGCACTTTACTTACTTCAGGGTCACAGCTCCTGGATATGGATTTAACCCAGATGATATTTAATCCAGACAAAAATTAATCAATGTTTATCTCATCTCATAATCCTCTTCTCTATATTGTGTTTGGCTGGATCACCCTTACAGTCCCACCCTCATTAGCAAGGGCATACAAAAATCACACCTACTTCATGATGGAGGACCCACAGGTTCTTCCTTGGAATGCAATCTCACATGCTTATAACCAGATATGGATAAAGAAATTAAATTACTTTTGGTCTGGGCAAATGAAAGATTCTAAGCAGTGATTCTCTCCTTTTCTTTGTTAACCAGTCTATACATCTAAAAACAGAAATAATGTACTTAAAAATAGTTTAGAGTACTGACCAGAGTTTGGCTTGCTTGTGAATGCCACACCAATGAGACAATTAGGATTACCATTATGTTACAATGGTGCTACAGGTTTTAAAATATGAAAATCTTAACCAAACATTTAAAAAATACTACAATTACAATCTCACAGGGTGCTTTTGTTTCATTATTCTGAGCATTTCTGTGTAGAGTGCAATATTAAATTAAGATGGGAATTAGATTTCTTTTAATGAAGGAATTCTTGGAAAACAAAGTCAATACTTCCCTGACAAAATCAAAGCTTCATTGTATTGTAGTTGCAAATAATTTTTTTTATGTATTTGATTTTTCAAATACAGAGTATAATCAACATATAGCTGTAATTAATTTTTTCAGTGAAACATTAATCAAATAAGATTTTGGATTGGAATAAACCTATCAGGAAAGCTCAAGCCTTGTATCATTTTTAGTATATGTTATTTTAAGTATGTACAAATTCACAATGACAACAATAATTATACCAAACAGAACATTCAGGCCACAATTTGATCTTATTTCAAAATACTCTCCTCCATGTTTATGCTTGTGTTCAACCCTGATGACTTCTTCTGTCCTCAGATTACATCATGTATAATAAGAGTCTATTCATGTACTCACTGTATATAATACGTGCACATATACTACACATTTATGTATACTATATACATATATACTTACACATGGCTCATTGTGTTGTGTGTGATGTTTGGAACCCATAGCCTGTAATAATTAAATTGAACTAAAAGAGTCTGTTTCAGTTGGTTGTGAGGAAAGCCAACCCTGTTTCTCATTTGTCTAAAATCTATAAAAATAAAGAATGGTGTACTCCTCTATCTAGGTCAGCATAAAGTTTTTGGTGATAAAAAGAGGGGGAAAAAGCAATCACACTCTGATAATTTGCACACAAATTGCCTTAAATTTATCTTTACCCTAAATTCATGTATGATTAGCAAACTGATTTTTTTAAGAGAAGACAATGATGCTTCTCCCACTCCCACACCATGACTTACTTCTCTCTAGAATTCTGCTCAAAAATCACCTTATTAATGAGGCCTTCTGTGACTTCTCACAGTAGAATTGTAACTACTAACCACCACCTGCTTTATTTTCTTCCATAGTGCCTTATCACTATCTGGCATGCTAGATACTTCTTTATTAATCAGTTTATTGTTTCTGTTCCATCACTAAAATAGGAGTTTCATAAGAGCTGAGGGTTTTCTCTTTTTTTACTGCTGTATTGCCAGCATCTAGAACAGGATTTCTCAACATGAGCACGACTAATATTTTGGACCAGATAATTCTTTGTTGGAAAGGCACTGTCCAGTACATTGTAAGATATTAGCAGCATCCCTTACCTCTACCCATTAGATGCCAGTCACCCCCCTACAGTCCCCCAACCGTAACAGCCAAAAATGACTCCAGATATTGCCAAATATCTCTGGGGGTGAGGAACGGGGGGAGGAGGGGAGCAAAATTGTTGGTTGAGAACTACTGATCTAGAACAATGCCTGGCACAGCAAACACTCAATAAATATTTGTTGAATGAGTCCCAAACAAGTGGATAAAACCAATATTTCTCACTGAGCCAAAATTCTGCATTTTCAACAATAGAACAATTACAACAGAAAAATTGAATACAGTGAGGACTTCACAAGTAAAGTTCCCTTTCTATTCAGGGCTTAAAATATGTCCTCTTTCACTAATCTCCTGCTAAAGGCTTTGAATAAAGACATTTCCAGAAAGTCGCCATTTATTTAGTTCCTAATTGTTTTGGCTGCACGATGCTGCTCACTGGAGGGGCCTGTAAATTGAAACCAATGCCACTTAAGTATTTTTCAAGCCAGGTAAGCTTTGTTGCATTCCTTTTGGAAACCCACTCTTTTGCTTTCTGTAGCAATTAGCAGTCAGTGGAAATAAATCACACGTCCTCCGAATGAGAATAAAATATTTCCCTGCCCCAATGTTTGAGCTTTCAAATTCTGAGCAGTGGAGGGTCTGCTCTTTCACGTTTTCTCTTAATACTTCACTGGCTCCTCTCCAAAACCTGCCTGACATGCAATTATTTTCAACCTATTTCACAGAAGGCCTGCTCCATTCATCTTCCTGTGGGTCAGATTTCCATTGAAACTGATAAAAGATTTTACTGTGTGAAACTTAAGTCAGTAGGGTTCAATGCAATGCTAAGCCAAGGTTTTTTGGGTTTATGGGGGCAGACATGAAATATAGTAGAGAGAGGGATGAAAGAGCATCCACGATCATATCTGAGGGGTTGGTAATGATCTGTCTGGAATAAAACCCTAGATAGAATTATGGGTGGTGTTTACACTGTATGGGGAGAAAGGGGGCTGGCCAGGAGAGGGTGACGGTCAGAAGATCTGAACTCAATTTATGATTCTGGTACTTAAGGTAAAAGACTTTCTTCTTTAGAAATTAGTTCCTTTGACTATATAATGAGATAGAACTGGATAGACTTTATCACCTTGTCTCCCCTACCTGCTTTTCCCCCATTGTTCCCTATTTCTTTAAATGGCATTGTTACCCTATTAAGAGTCAGAAATCTGAAAGTCAGCTTTGACTTTTCTTCTCCTCTGCCCCATACACTGATTGCTCACCTGGCTTACCTCCTAAATTTCTCTTGATCTCTTCAATCCTCTCTCTCCTCTTGGCAACCAGACAAAGTGTAACTGCCTCCGTCTCTCCCCCATAGCTGGACTGTTGAGGTTCAAGGCCACTTCACTGCCTCCCTGCCTTCAGCCTTGCTCCCCACCCTCGTCCCGGAAATCTGGTTCTACTGAGGCCAAAGTGATCTTGCAAAGAGAATCTGATCTTAGAATTAGGAGTCCTTAGAAATTCCAGATTCCTTAATTACGCTTTTAAGATCTGTCTTCTGATAATTTTTCTAGACTCATCCCCTCACCACATTCTCTGATATTTTCCCTTCAGTCACACTAAGCTTTTTTCAAATCTTCTTTTGCTGCCAAGTCTTTGGATACTACTCCTTTTGCTCAAGACACTTTCCCTTCTTGAGTAGTCTGAAAATTTCTGAGTTCATTTGTGTCACTTCTCCGGCAGGCCTGAACTCTGTCTAGGTGGTACTATGCTCAGTACAGGTCACAGTTTATTGTAATCCTATTTGTACACAAGTTTTTAAATACTGATTTTTTAAAATTACAATGTGATTTGTTTGCACAATTCTTCTAGAGTAGTCTTCTCTTAAATCGTTTACAGTTGTCACATTCAACTCCTAATAGAGCAGCAATATTTTGGCAATGTGACTTTATCAAATCATTTCAAAGCCTTTAAGTAGTTTTCATGGAAACACACATACTCTTACTCTCATACTTCCTCAATTGATTTAGGTTTAATTAAATTAATGTAATTACAATAAGAAGTACAATGGAATCAGGGTTTTGGCTGCATACCACTAATTCTTGAAAAACATACAACCTAATCATTAAGTGGAGAAGCACTTGGACATCATTTGGAATGTTTTAGGGAGGGAATGGGATTTAGCCTGTGACTTTAATAACCTGCCTTTACTTCTAGAGTTACATTTCTTAACAGAAAAGACTGTTATTTTATTTACTATTATGTTCCTAATGTAAAGCACAGTACCAGTTCAAACATAATATGTAATTTTAAAAATTGCTACTAAATTAAATACCAGGTTTAACTCTAAAAACTATAGAGCTTATAAAATTGCTAACACCTTCAAATTCTGACAATTTTATTCATATTTAACTGTGAACACATTTATGGTTGTAATGAAATTATGAATCAAGTCAGGGTCAGGTTCTTGTATTATGTTACCCTTGTGTTCTCCATAGTCAAGCGACTTAGCAGGTTGCTCAGTGAATAAGTGTTGAATGGTGTGTGTGTCTGCCTAGTCTGGTCTTGGGGTATGGGGGGGCTGGTGAGGGCTGGTGTTAAGGCTTTGGGCACGACCTTAAACTTGGTGTATGGAAATATTAGCCCCAACTTCTCTTTATTAAGAGATAAGTGAGATTTTAATATAATTACAGAAATCAAAATCCATGATTATTTATTGCTAGTCACCGATAAATAATATCAGCTAAGAACCTTAATCCAAATAAATAAGGATCTAGGATTTTAAAACTAATTATTTGTGGTTTTTAGCAGGACATATATCCTATTTTAGTCATCTTCTTGCTCTTTCAACTTTCCTGAGAAGCATACCATTTTCAGTGAATTTCTCAGAAACTCATTTGCATTGATGATTTAGCTTCAGGGTAAATGGGAAAGAATCAGATTTTTAAAATTCGTGGGTTTATATTATGCCAAACAGCATGCGAGGGCTATATCCCCACCTCATTTGAATTCAGCCTAAGAAATAAGAGTGCACATTTGGCCTGGTCCTGAACTGACTGTGTTGAAGTCTTTGCCATATTGTGCTTTTTCCCAGAGCAGGTCCAGAGCGAAGGAAGGTAATTTCCTGATGGATGCTCGGTCTCCCCTCCCACCCCTGGAACATTTCCAAGAGAGAAGGAAAAAAAAAAAAAAAGAGGAAAAGCAGGTGCAGCTATTCAGAACCAGATAGAGAAAAATGGCAAGTAAATCATGGTCATAAAAATAATGACTGGCATTTTTTTGAGAGGTTTCTGTGTGTCAGACACTGAGTTTAGCAATTTGGATGCTTTATCTCAATTCTCACAACTTCCCAGCAGTGAGTAGTGGTTAAAATGCAGGTCTAGGAGCCAGACTGGCTCAGGTCTGAAGCCACTTACTGTGGTGTGACCTTGGGCCTTAGCCTCTGTGTGTTTCAGCTTCCTCGTGTGTAAATAAGAGGAAGGGAATTTAAAAATCTACCTTGTAGTGTTTTGGTGGGACTTGAAGAGCTAATACAAGACAAGCTCAGTATTTAGTACAAAGTGAGCACTCAAAAAATGTTAGCCCGCTTTACCATTACCATCACTGTAGTTGTTATTCCCTGCCTGCAGATGAAGCAATTTCGTGAGGCCAAATGGCCTGGCCAAGGTCACTCAAGCTGGTGGATGGCAGGGTCAGTACTGAACTGTATGTCTGCCCATCCAGCACCATTCCCCCACACACCACGCAACGCACCTTGATTGCAACATAAGCAGTCAGGAGGTGGAGGGCAGGGAGCCCAGGCTTCAGAGCTAAGCACAACTGGTTCAAATCCCAGCACTTCTGCATCCTCTGGGAGTCACTGGATGAATTTCACTTACATTTGCCGTGTTCAATTTACTCATCTTTAAAATTAGAGTAGAGTCCCATTTTTAGTGTTGTGATGAAGATTAGTGGTGATGTCTATTTTGATAAATGGGAACATAACAGGTACTTGATAATGGTTGTTTCTATTTTAGGCTATCACAATATATTATAAATAGTATAACTGCAGTAATAGTGTTATCATGCTTTAACATAAAAAATAATTTTTTAGAATATATACTTCTACAAACAAAATGTGGTATATACATATAATGGAACATTATTCAGCCTTAAAAAGGAAGGAAATTCTGACATGTGTTACAACATGGATGAACATTGAAAACATTATGGTAAGTGCAATAACCCACTTGCATGAGGTACAGAGAGTAACCAAATTCATAGAGGCAAAAAGGAGAGTGGTGGTTGCCAGAGGCCAGAGGGAGGAGGGGTTTAATGGGTGTGCAGTTTCAGTTTGGGAAAATGAGAAAGTTCTGGAGATGGATGATAGTGATGGTCGCACAGCGTGAATGGACTTAATGCTGCCGAATCGGACCCTTAAAATGGCTAACGTGGTATATTTTGTGTTATGTTCATTTGACCCCAATAAGAAATAGGAGAAAAAATATATCCTTCTGCAAGAGGAACACATTATTATTAAAATCATTAAAAGCACAGTCTTAAGAGCAGCTCCTGCTTCTCCAGTCATATTTTTGACATTTTATGTTAATTCCACCAAGAAGTCACTTTAGTCTTTATGCTTTATGAGTGAAAAGGTATGCTTGACTATTTTTATCCACAACATATGTTCTTATTTGAATTGGCAGGTAGGTATTAATCAATGTAGATATTCTAACAATACTGTCAGAGGAGAAATAATATTGTTGTGACACCAAGAGAACATTTTTATTATGCACATTACCTTGAAATAACATTTTTGCCAGGAAATTTGATGCAGCTTACATGTGATGCATGAGAGGAGAAGCCCAGCTAAAGTACATTAGTCATGTGTACCGCACATGATATATAGCCCGACAGCCAGTGAGGTACAAGGATGTAATTAACTAGGAAGGTCATTCCATCACCAGGATCATATTTGGAACAAAGATGTATTCAGTTATGCTATTTACTCTTTTTCTACTTCAACTCCTCATTTTTATAAGCTTTCCTTTCTATGTGATTTTTAAAGCTCCCATAAGGCCTTTTTCTTTTTTTTTTTTAAGTCTTTTTTTTTAAGAGTTGCCTTGCATTCCAAACCCAAATCAAAACCATTGTGAATTTTAACATGACTTGCTTCTGACATTGAAACTTTTTTCTTTTCTTTTTTTTTTTTCAGTTACTATAATAAATGTCAGATTTGGGTGAAAATTTTGGATAGGCTCAGAAGGCCTAGTGTATGCCTGTCTTTTCTATCTGCATGTGCTTTACTATTTCATTACATTCGTACTTACTGAAGTTATCTTTTATTCTTGCATTTGTTCTGCCTCAATAAAATACCAGCTCTAATTATTCACCTTTGTCTCCCACCCTTGAGTTACATTAGACCCTTCGGATGGCAGGAGGAATAGCAGACCTCTGGCCTTTGCTCTAAGCTCCTCCAAGCCCTTGCTTTTTCTCTAGGCCCAATAGTGAATATTTGCCCATCCCTGCTCCTTCCAGAGAGATTTCTAAACTTTCAAGCAAGATCTTTTCATATGCTGAATGTTTTCATCAGGAGTTTGGAGAGAGGAAGTCTCTACAACAGGCTTCTTTTGTATCTTGTTTTCTACTCTCCTGAGATCTTTGGATCCTATTTTTATTTAACTGGAATTCTTCCTCAGGTAACATTTTCAAAGAGATTACAAGCGTGGCTACTTTCTAAGTTCTCCTATACTTGAAATCAATGGTCTTTTGTCTTGGCAAGGGGGCCAAGATCAAAGTCTTTTTCTCTCAGAATTCTTTACACATTATTGCAACGTCTTCCAGCATCTAATGTTTCACATAGGAAATTTAATTCACGTCCTAGCCTCTTCCTAATGTTTTAATCCAAGAAGCTTGTAAGAGTTTCTCTTTATCCTTGAAGTTTAGAAATTTCTCCGAAGTATGTTTAGGCATGCTCCTCTTTATGTGTTTCCCTTTTGATGTGAAAAGCAATTTAATACTTTAGGAATAGAAAATTTTGTCAGGTTCATGGGTTTCACTTTATATTTGTTTATTTCTCAACACCAGTTCAGGTGTCCTTCCTAGATTAATTTTCCATATGATGCGTGTTTCCCTCCTCATGTCCATGCTCTTCCTTTCTGCATTTCAGGCTTCCATTTGGGACCATTTGCTCTCTGAGCAAGGTACATCTTCTGGAATTATTTTTAATGAGGATATTTTGGTGGCAAACTAAGATCTTGTTTTTCTGAAATATGTTTATTTTACCATCATTTTTGAGAAACATTTTGCTAAGCATCCAGTTCTAGGATGTCAGTTTGTTTCTCTCAACCCTCTGAAGGTATTATTCTCCTATCCTCTGGCTCTGTCATTGCTGCTGTGAAGGCAGCCGTGAGCCTAACTGCCGTCCCTTCTTAGGAAATGTGTCCTTTTTTACTGCCTGTTCTTAAGATCTTCTATT